CCCGCTTTCCCCAGGCTGTTTGAATGGGAAATTCTGGGATTTCAGTATCTGAAATGTGGTCTAGAAGGGAGAACACAGGCTCTGGGGGGAGCATATCACATCCTTTTGGCCATGAGAACTCCTCACCCCACAGAAAGGGCCAGGACTGAGCAAGGCCAAAGTGGGGTCCTGTAAAGTGTGGAGCTAGGGCACGGCGCCCTCTAGGCCTGAGGTAGGACAGGGGTAAGGATGAGGCCTCCTCAATGTTCAGAGTCAGGTCCTTTTTCCATTTTCAAGAACCACTTCTTGGGAAAGTTCAATTAAGGCCATGTCACTTGGTTTCAAAATGCACGCTGTGAACTATCCTCCCCAGGATCAACAGAAGAGAGGTTCTGAAGGTGACCCTAACTTTTATCTCAACCTAGGAATAACCCCATGAGAAGCTGCAGAGCCCCACCCGGCCCTCTGCTTCCCTGCTGACAGCACTCTCTATTTCTCCCCAAAAGGATAAGTGGGAGGCTGTCAGCTCCTCATTAACGGATTTATTTAGTTCAGTGGCTCCAATGAAGAGACTGATTCTTCAGGGATTCTGCTCCTTGTGTTTTCAGGGTAGGACCTTGGGAATTTAATTCTGTCTTTTGAGATAATGTTGCCATCCATCAAAATATTTGATTAGCATCTATTTGGAGTGAGTCCTGGAGGGCTGACAATCTGTTTGGCTGCCAAGCTATTATTGCTGTCTGGCAAACTGTGTATCGGAAAGATTAAAAATAACAATGGGTGGAATCATTTTCCCATTAGAACCATAAATAATCACTGCCTTGATAGGATTGTAGAATTCAGAGTTCCACTTCCAGTCTTCCCCTTCTCGGTAAATGTCATTCACAGAGATGCCGTCAGTTAAACCGGAAACCTTCGAGTCACCCTGACTGCTGCCACTCCATCAGCCCCGCATCAAGTCCTCTTATCTCCACCTCCGACATAATAAGCCCATCTGCCTCCATCTCTGTCTCTATTCAAGTCTGAGTTATCGTCACTCTCACCTAGACCACAGACTGGTCTCCCCACTTACAATCCTATAATCAGTTGTCACCTCAGTTGCCAAGAAGCACATTTTAAAACACAAATCAGCTTCCCACTGACTCTGAATAGAAGCGATACTCCTTGCTGTGACCCTTAAGCCCCGCCATGACCTGACCTCTGCCTTCTGTCTGATCTCATCTGGGGACTCCCTTCCTCTCCGCTGCTTGCTCTGCTCTACTCTACTGGCTGCCTTGGAGATCCTCAATCATGTAAGCATCCCCCTGCTCTCCTTTCCCCTCTTATCTCATCCNATAGCAGCCTGAACAGACTAAGACAAATGGAAAGACCTGAGAAAACAAACCTAACAGAAATTCCCAGCGCACCTCAAATAGGACCCAAATGCCTCGCTGTGGCCTATAGACGCCAGGTGACACTAGCTGACGCTCCAGTCCCATCTCAGACAAGCCTGTCATTGCACACCAGGCACCAAGCTCTTTCTTGCCTTTGCTGTCTCTGTTCTTGAACATTCTCCCCACCCCCGCTTTTGGGTCTCAGCAAAAAGGTCCTTTTTTTGGCCTGCTCTTATAACCATTTCTAAAGCAGCCTCCTTGCCTGCCCTGTGCAGTCACTGTTTATCTCACCATCCTGTTTATTTCCTTCATAGCCATCATCCCAACCGGACACCACCTAGGTTATTTATGTGGTTACTTGTTTATCATCTCCCTCCCCTTATTAGCATGGGAGGTACATCAAGGCAGGAGCTTGCTGTCTTGCTCGCCCCAGTAGCTCATCGGATGCTGGGACAGTGTCAGGCACAGAACGGGCTTCCAGTAAATATTTGAACCACTCACTCATATCGTGACTTTCAATTTCTTTTCCCACAAACCATGGGAGCCGTACTAGAAACCAAGACGAGTCAGCACAGAATTTCTCCTCTCCCGTATTTTCCTCCCTCCACTTCTGAGGAAGGTCAGCAATAAGAGGGCTTGGGGGCTGGAGACCACAGGGAGGAGAAGCATGGGCTATGGTTTTCTGAGGCTTCACCTCATTGTCACATTATCTTGGACCCTGGGGGAATGGGATGCACACCCAGCCAACTCTGCCGGCAGGATGGAGGGGATGGTTCTTGAGCCGGAGGTGGGGGGGGGGAGTTACCTTCACAAACTGCACGTCGCTGAGGATGTGGACCGAGTAGTCAGGAGTGTAGAGGTTGTTGCTGCTACAGCACAGCTGGCTGTTGCTTCCCCCAAAGTCACTGCGCTCACGGCTGGGAGACTCGGAGCGGTTCAACCCACTGCAGCGAGAAGGGGAGCGGTTGACTGCAGATGGTGAGGGGGGAAGGGGGCAGAAAAGGCAAGGAGGAGCAGGTGGGGAGAAGGGAGAGGGGAATGGAAAGAGGGAAAGGGAGGGAGAGAGGGGGAGAGAGAGATGTTGTTTATTGATGTCTCCTCACAGGACTTTAAGGCAAAGGTAACGCTCCGTGGTGGAACAGAGCCTAGGCCTCCCATCAGAGCCCAGGAAAATGCCCAGCTGTTCTATTGCTGTTTATTCTTAAGAGGAGCAAACACCTAGGACAGGAACTCCTGGCTCCGCTCTGCTCAGGCTCCTGTTGCTCCCTGAGACCTCTGCCAGGCAGAAGGTGGGCAGAGGATGTCACCTCCTTATTTGGTTCTGTTTTTTTTGGGTTAAGTGCTCTGGACAAAAAAGGGGCTCCGTATAAATCTGACTGGAAGGAACCTCTCAGGGTGATCTGACCACAAATTCCTAACTGGGCAGGTCACGGTGGGTAGTCACGCCCCAGGCCTATAAAAAGGTACACCTTTGCCTTAAGCAGCCCTGTCCACTGTTCTTGTGCATCTAGGTTAACACATGTTTGAAAGGCCAGAGTGATCCTCTTGTTTACATCTCCCTCAAGGGAGCACACTGTCTTGTTAACTCTCCTGTACCTTGCTTTCTCCCACCTTCAAGTAATCTTCCTTACATTCCCTCCTTACTTCCAAATGCATAAAGCAAACTGCAAAACTGTCACGCTCCAAGCATTGTGAGAGCTTGCTCGTCAGCAGTTTGGCTCAAATAAACTCATAAAAATTCTCTAGAGGTTTGGATGTTCTTACATCGACAGTGCAGATGGTTAGCTACCCCAGACCATGAGATCCTCTACCAGGGTGAGTTATTTTATATAAACTCCATTCACAAACCTGGTTTTAGAAAGGCCAAGATTTGCCCTCAGAACCATCTGTCACAGCACAGATGACCAAGCCTCACTGCAGTGATGCATCGTAGTGGGAATAACTCGGGTCTGCACCAAAATTGGCTGGGCCCAGGACAGGTTATATGGATACATATTTAAAGCACATGAATAAACTGTTGAAATATGTTCTCTCCTTGTCCTTGACAATTATACTGAGTAAAACCCCAGCTAAACAGAAACC